GGTGGCTTTACAGCCGAAGCCCCGCATATGCGATCTTGCAGGGTTTAGGGCCTTGGGGTCTACTGGGTTGCTGTAAAGGAACTTCAATTAAGTTACCAAAATAGGTATATATAGTACTTAATTTGGTCTCCCCACTATAGTAATCAACCTAATTCAAGTTCCTTAACAGCAACCCAGTTTCGGGATCTACGGTTAGAGGCTTCGGGAGACACAGCTTGGGGTGTTGAGACGTGGCCTCTCTTTCGACAACCAACTTGGGCAAAGCAGGTGCAATCCATCTGGGTGGCATCGCAAAATCAAGAAGAATCATTAGGGTTATATAGGGTTATATTGGGATGATGGAGAAGAAAATGGAAACTACTATAATGGGATACATAGGGGTAGTTTCCATTTGATTCTAGGGTTTAGGGTCCCTACTCAGGATCATGCAGGGGTAGTGAAGCTTCATACAATTCACATGTCAGCAATCATGCCTAGGGCTGCTATCGCCATTCCCACGGCTGCTTACGTGATGTCGTACCGGGCCTCCTGAAGCCATCGTTGATGACCATATGGGCTATAGTCTAAACTCCTAGTATCCCCCTTAATAACCCCTCTACATAATACCCTATAGGACGCCTCTTAAAAGAGTTTAGACTATAGCTCATATACACATCTATTTCTTTGTCACATAAAGTGACATAAAGAAGGTAGGTAGCAAGCCAAGAAGGGCAACATGTCAAGGTCGGTCTTGGGGAGGGGTTACCAATTACATACATACATACATACATACATACATACATACATACATACATACATACACACACAGAGACATACATACATACATACATACATACATACATACATACCTTTCATTCATTTATGAACGGTGGGTCTCTGTACGGCTTTAGATGCGCAGCCTCGCCCCCCAACACCTCAACCCTCAACCGCCTTAGTGTTAGGGCTTATCGTACCCCAAAAACCCTAGAAGCTAAACCCATTTGACTTTCCATGGTCCTTTCCTACACCTACATATTGCTAGATAACCCCATATGAGCTATAACTATAGTCTAAAACCTAGTATCCCGCTTGATAATCACTATAATCCCCTGAGCTATTTAAATTATCGATTGACCCGAAACCCTAAACCCCAAATCCTCTGGGCCCCTTCATAAGGCGAATATTGGTTCTAGCTCACATGACCCACTTATCTCGACCCCAATCAAAGAGCCCAAGTCCAGAGGTTAGCACGGAAGAACCTGGGTTGAGGATATAAAAACAGAATACCCTTGCGATCTATCCACCAACCACCTGGGGGATTGTCAAAATTATGGTCCCTTTTTGGGTCCCCATTATATTACGGGGCCTAATACGGGGCCTAATTTAGGGGACCCAAAAAGGGACCATAAGTTTGACAATCCCCCACCAGTAAACCTGTTTTTTTCGGCACTTGTCGCCTAACGATGCACTGCTATTGCCGACCATGGCAAGTTCGGGCCTTTGGTACACCTTGTAGCTACTATAGTATATTCGGGTTATATTAGGGTCTATATAGAGTTTTAATAGGGATTATAGGGGAATGTATTGGGGTGATATTGGTATAATGGAAAATAAAATGGAACCTAGTTATATGGGGATAATGGAAAAAGAAACGGAAACTACATGGATCTAAGACGAACAGTCTCCGGTTCAAAGTCAACGACTAAAGAGGATATAGGGTCCATGTGGGGATCTATAGGGTTATGTAACGCTATGCCTGTACAAACAATCCTCTAGTAGCCGCCAGACTTTAGAATCATTTGTGAAGAGATGTCGTTTCTCATATTGCTGTTGCTCCAGCTCATCTGCAAGATAGCCAAAACAGCATATGCGCAACATAGTATAATATAATATCTCATAATATAATAAATCAGAAAACGCGGCTTCTGTCTTACTACATTTGTACACACCATACATGATACTCAAGATAGCATACGTATAGAAGTCCGCAATACCTACCCCAATATAACACATATGTATATACCATGATCCAAACTATGGGTACGGGCCCCTAATCTCCACTGAAAAAAAGCATAAACACTTAACCGTACGTCCTTCATAGACCTGAACTGAAAAGCCCAAACTACCCTAAACCCTAAACCCCTAAACCGCTGGAAAGCCCAAACTGTGGATCTCGCAAACTGGAATTGCGAGATGAGCCAGGCCCACAGTGAATGATCACCAGGTCTGGGTAGCGTTTCTTGTTGTGTGAGACGTCTGCTTAGCATTAGGTTTAGGGTTTAGGGTTTCGGGTTTAGTTTAGCGTGAGATAGAGAGGGATATATAGGATATGTATGGCTGTAGTGGATCAGTGGGGAGTCCAGTGCAAACGCAGAAAAACGGAAACTGGGATGATATAGGAAGTCAGGCTAAGGCATTATGAAACACCGATGCTATTCCCAGTTTCCATGTCAGTTTCATCATCCATTTTCCTTTCCGTCTGATTTTCCATTGTTCTTCGGATGATGTCCTTATGTAGTGTAGCTCTATATGGTCCCTAAACAGCTAAACCTATAAACTAAATACTGACCCCTGAAGCCTGAATCCTAAGTCCTAAACCCTAAATCCTAAACCTAAACTCTACATCCTAAACCCTGAACCATACATCCGAAACCCTAAACCCTAAAATTGAGGAAAAGCTACCCAGGTTCACGGCTGCGGACACTACATGCAGTTGCCTCCTCATTCAAAGCTTGTCACGCCAGTTTGAACTTAGGGTTTAGGGTTTAAGGTTTAGGGTTTAGGGTTTAGGGTTCAGAGTAGAGAATTTATAGGGATTCTGAAGTACCAAAGTCAAAAAGAAACTGGAAACAATTATTTAGGGTTTAGGGTTTAGGGTTTATGGTCCAACTTAACTGGATAGACCACCGGGTATATGAGGATCTTATTCTGATTTTGGACAATTCCATATGATCTACTTAAGGGGACCATAGGACCTGGGTCCACACCTTCAACATACAATGCGGTAGCTCTTGTGGTTTATAACAGAGCATCCGCTCTCGTGTCGAAAGCGCTTATAGACTGGACGTGTCAAGCACTCCGCCTTCGGCGTATTCACGGAGGCTCGGGCATTGGTAGCCCACATGCAACTCGAGTTTCTCATGGCGACTCGTGAATATGTTTTCTAGGACCCATTCACGGATCCCCAATACAGACACAAATTAGTTTCGTCCCTCCTATGGGGCCCACCAGAAAGGGATCTCAAATGAAGCCTCCTTACACACACAAGAACACTTCAGAGGGCTGATTTCATATCGATTTCTGCATCCCCACCGGGCTGCTGCGCAAGATGCTTCCCCTGAACTCCCCAGGGAATCCCTGAAAATGCCAGTACGCTTAGGCTTTAGGGTGTAGTGCTCAGGGATGCTTGTTCCATGGTACTGCCCAAGGCTCCCTAAGCTTCACCCTAAACCTTAAACCCCAAACCCTGGACCCTACCCCTGAACCCACCCTCCACCCCCCCCCTGCTGATCAGGTAACTATTTGAGAAAGCGGCCGTTTTGGGAATTTTCAATTTGCGAGGAGGTCTCCTTGCGGTGCACGAAATACAGGACCCTGAACCCTAAACCCTATAAGGTAAGGGACCTGTAGGGATCGCTCAGGGCTTAGGGTTCAGGGTTTTGGGCCCACTTAGCCATAGCTATCCCAAGCATAGGGCATGCACGTAGAAAGCTTTCACCACGCCGCGCTCTTGACGAAACACGAGTACAAAAGGGCCAAGGGCGTCAGAATGACCGGAGTCAGACAGAAAAATGCCAAGGCCACAGAAGGCAATAAGAGCTGTAGTCTAACCTCCCAGTATACCCATTAAGAAGCCATGCAGTAGTCCCCTATCTATTTCTCTCTACATAAATATATATATATATATGTATAGATATCCTCTTTAAGGAGTTTAGAGTTTAGACTTTAGCTCATAAAAGAAGAGACGCTTCTTCAAATCTCTTCGATGCAGTCATATGGGTATTTCCATAACCAGGGGGTCCCCTGTATACACATTTTACTATAGTCCTTGAGCCCTAAACCCTAAACCCTAAACAGAGGACCCCAAAAAGAAAGTGCCCGTGTCTGATTTAAGGTTCTGCTTCTCAGTACCTGACCAGGAAGCTCCACACCTTCAAATTTAGGTGTTAGGATCTGCAAGTTTGGGGTTTAGGATTTAGGGTAGGGCTCAAGCTTTAAGATTTAGGGTTTAGGATTTGGGGTTTAGGATTGAGGGGTGAGAGTCGTGACGAGCCACAAGAATACTCATGGCAACAGCATGAGCAATGCCAAAATGAAAAAAACAATGCTGATGAGCTCATAGTATATAACAGTAATTACTCCTACTCTACTCGTTACACCTCGCCTCAGATTCCTTAAGGCTTCCTGGTTACCCCCACGCTTCTCCTTGATCTCGAGGCATTTGTTTTGGAGTTCGGGCTGTGCAACATGCACGGGCTGTACCTGCCAAGACCTTAAACCTTATACGCTGTCCCAACCAAGGGCTCTACACCCTGCAGGCAGCTGAAATAACCCTCACCTGTGACCGTGGACGGAGGCACCAGCCACACTGCCAGCACAAGTCAAGCTATCCTAATGTGGCCTGTGCTGTCATTTCGGGGAACGGTCTTACTTTGATGAGCTCTGTACAAGTAGCAAGCAGAGTTACTTGTTACTCTTGCCCTTCTCCTGGAATGCACATCTACAAAGGCTGCAGCAACTCAACCCCCAGTTGTTCGGCTACGGAATCTGATGTTCCAAGTCTTCTAAGTATTGTATATTGGCATAATGAAACAGAAACTGGAGACTACTATATTTTGTTGGGGTTATATTGGGGTTATACTGGGGTTATATCATCTGTCCGACTGTACAGGATCCTGCATAGGTGAAGCTGGTGATGCTCGAAAAGCAATCATTGCAGCAGCGCACCGTCCCAAGGGGCGCTCATTTAGACACCCGAAAAAGGGTAGAAGCACCCGCCTCATCAAAGCGGAGAAGAGGATCTATGCATGGCTTTCCTGGGCTGTTGCTGGCGAACACCACCCTAAAAGCAACCAAAAAACAATGCAACACATGCACAAAAGTCACAACTTTAGTTTGGCATAATTGTCGAGGAATGCTTTCAAGCACTTACTCACAGCAAATACGATCCTTACAGCGAGGAATTCCCCGAGCATCATTGAATAGATGTGCTGAATGCTTGCAATCCCTCACACTGAAGCGCAGAAGAGTTTCTTGCACGCGACGTGACATCAGCCAGTCATCCCAGGCATCAATCCAGGTCTTGTTCTTGTACTGATTGCGGACAATGTGTTCGATCGCCCTGGCAACCATGACCAGAATGGCAATTGTATCAGCACAGCAAGAACAGTAATAATACCCCCAACGGCAGCTGCGACACAAGCAACAGCACAAGCAGCAGCAACCCCTGCAGCAGCACCCGAAACAACAGTCACTATGACGACGACCACCGCCGCCGCCACCATGACTGCTGCTGCTGCTGCTACTTCTACTGCTACTGCTGCTGCTACTGCTACTGTTACTGCTACTGCTACTGCTACTGCTACTGCTACTGCTACTCCTACTACTACTACTACTACTACTACCACCACCACCACCACGACTACTACTACTACTACTACTACTACCACTACTACTACCACTACTACCACGAACTACTAGTACGTTTACAAGGAGGTGATGATAATAAAAATTTCCTTTGCCACAAAGAATTAAAATCAAACTAAGAACCTCTCCTGCTCCTCTTCCCCCTACTCTGTCTTCCTCCTATAGCTACTAGTAGGACTGCTACTGGTACTACCATACCACGACGACGCATCTGAAGAGAGCTGAGGCCCCAAATGCTTTTATTACGGACCCCATTTCCCAGACCTTTGCTTCAAGATTGGTCCGCCCGGAACTAAGGGGGGGAGGGGGCTTACTATAAGAAACCTCACATTACTATTACTACAACTACTACTGCTGCTGCTACTACTCATGATGAAGCATTATTGATATTGTTTGCGGTCATAACAAGAAGAATAACATTACAGCAGAAGCCGCCGTGCATGACGAAAACATCCTACAGGCAGCGTGGAAGATCGTGGAAGTAATTTGCTGTCTGCTACAAGAGGACTCGTACCGACTGCAACTTGTTGGGAGTGTCAATCTCAGTACCATAAAACAAATGTTTTGATTATAGGGGTCTACCTAAAGGATTACATGGGGATAATTTTTAAGATCCCAGCACCATAGAACCTTAGACCCTAAACCCTTAACCCAAACGCCGAGGCTCCTGATAACTTTTGGCCACTTCTTTCTATCGGAATGGAGATCGGGCAAAGCCTCAGCAAAGCTTTCCCCTCCCATTCCCTAAGACTTACTGGGGTTAGAAGGGAATAAAGGACTATGTATATATATATATATACATATGTGGATTAGGGCATACGGTTTAGGGTTGTTTGGCTAACGAAATCTAAACATTCAACAAGCATACCCTGTAGCAAACAGTACTAGATTAGCTGACAAGGCGCCTTGTTCCAAATGGCATGGTAAGCTGGGATTGGTAGCTGGTATTGCATAAGCGGAGTGTGCATCGGGTAGCAGTCGCATCCGTTCCCTATAAGCTTCACAGCCAAACGCGCGACGCAGCTCTTGTCAAAGGTCATATATGGCAGGTTCGGATCGAACCCAGCAGCAACCAACTCCTTGACGGATGTAATATCTCCTCTGAGAATGAGCGGGGTCTTGAAGGAAGCAAACATCATGGGCGCAGAATAGAAAGTCAGGAAACCCAGAAACCGGGCCGTGATGTGCGACTTGTTCACATCAACGGACTCCAGTAGCTTTTGCCAGGCAACCTCTGACACATGGAAGTTGAACACCATCCAAGACAACAAATCCGGTGATATTGTCTGAAAATTCATGTCATAGACTCCAAGGCCCCAGCATTCCTGCTTGGGTGCCCGCTGCCGGCAGGGGTCTAGGTTGTCGGTATAGGAACATTTCAGATCCATCAGTCTCTGGACCATGCCTGCGCAGTTCTCATTGTGAGAGTTGGCAAGGCTTGCCCATAGCAACAAAGAGAGACCGAAATCGCTCTTTGCTGTCGCATCATAACCTAGAAGAATGAGGGTTCAGGGTTTAGTGAACTTGGGACCCTAGTAAAAATCAGAACTTTGGCTGTTTTCAAGGATTATAATAAACAAAAAGTAAAATTTATTTCCAAGTATCCTAAGTAACCATGTTTCAGCAAGAGGTCGAGCTTCACGTTGTCACAGGCCATGCATGGGATGCAGGCAGACATGATGCCTGTCCCTGTCACAATCCAGTCACTGGCAGGAGTGACACCACACCTTGCGTTTGGATCTGCTCGAGCCTCCAGAAGAAGTTGCACGGAGGTGTTTGCCCCCTGCCCCCAAGCACAGTCAAGCGCGAAATGAAGCGCAGTGCAATTCTCTGAGGAACGAGAGTTCACATTTGCCCTGCTCTGTAGCAAAGCAGCAACAAGGTCAGAGCGACCACCGGCTGCAGCGCACATGAGTAGCGAGATGCCGCTGCTAGCATGGATCATGTCGCAATCCATTCCAGGAGCCACCTGCAAGGTCCCAGCATAAGCCTCCTGTAGCGTACCAGCCAGGCTTTCCTTGATGTCCTCCATCTGCCGAGCTGCCGGAGAAGGTGGTTGCACCTGAGCCGCCTCCTTGTGCTCAAAGCGGTTCGCTGCGCGAACCTGCTGATCCAGGAGGCAGTCTGCCCTGAGGTAGTTGATGTCCACCTTGGCTGCCGTTGAACGCTCACCCTCCACCCAAAACCATGCACTAGCTAGCTGCTAGCTGATCTCCTACCTTGTTCTCCTCCAAAATGTGGACGCCCGTCCAGTCAGGATTGGCAAGGCATCGCGTGTGAACACTCCTTGGCTAAACAAAATTGCTTGCATTGCTTTCCGCTACCATTGCCTAGATCCCTAGCTCACGCACCAATCGTGAACGTTCACTTCTAGAGGTGGTTAGTTTAGGTTTTAGGGTTTAGGGTTTAGGCAGCAATAACACAGGCATGCCTAATCAACCGAGTAGACCATGGCTTGTTGCTTGCAGTTATACTGGAATGACTGTTGTCATTCAATACAACAACGGCAACAACACATCACAGTTCCTGAAATCCCTATATGCCACAAGTTTAGATTTCATGTTCCATGCTCTTGTCCATATGATTTTCCACTATTGACTAATATATATACACACACACATATATACCTATTTTCCATGTTCTTTTCCCTTTGATTTTCCATGATTGGGGCAATATCCCTATATATATATATATTCCGATTTCCCACTTTTTCTTCCATTTGATTTACCACTATTGCGGTAATATCCCTATATATCCCTGTTCTCCATTTTCTCCTCCATTTGATTTTCCACTGTTGGGATACTATCCGTATGTATCCCTTTAATATACCACCTTTAAAAGGACCAACCCTAAACCCTTAACCCTAGGAAATACTAATGGGAGCCTGGTAGCTGACAGGTCGCGTTGCAAATGCCAGGGTGTATTCCTCGGGATATGGCTTATGGCTTAGGGTTTAGGGTTTAGAGTTTAGGGTTTAGGGTTTAGAGTTTAGGGTTTAGGGTTGAGGGTTTAGGGAAATCCGGAACCGGCTTTCTTGAACCAATGTCCTGACTCAAGAAGGGCCTTCAGCATCCGCCAGTTCGAATGGTTTACAGCAAAGCAGGCCAGTGCTGCTACACCCTCACAGGGCCAGTGGGCTGCTTCAATGGGTAACACTTCTGACATCCCCAACCTTGGCTGCTGTTAGGGAACTTAACTTAAGCAACCATAATGGGTATATAGGGTATATAGGGTATATAGGGTATATTGGGTTTATAGGGCTTATAGGGTTTAGGGCTTCTTAAGTTACCATGATGAGTATATACATATATATATATAGAAAATAAATAATAGGGTTTCCCCGGAAGAGTAACTTAAATCAAGTTCCTTAACAGCAACCCAGCAACGGAACGTCAGGAAGCACATGCGCTTCGTCTAAAACGCTGTCCAGCTTACGGGGGTTCTGCTGAAGCTTGATGCGTCTGGCTTTCGCGTCCATCCATGAGACCTTCCAAGAATACAGAGGGAACGGAACTTCTTTCGGTTGGTATGGATCTGTTCCTTTGGGTGCGCTGCGCCCAGGGTTGTATGAGATTCTTCCAACTTTCAGCTTTGCACGCTCGTCGTTGGCAATCTGCCGGCACCACAACTGAAAGCTTTCCTCATTGAGCATCTCCGCCACATTGATCCACACCACCAGCCACCACTGCTCTGCCAACCGATCCCTACCGTGAGCTGCCAGTGATGAAGAGGAAAGGAAGTTGAAGTAGGCCTCCATATGATTCACCTTGTGAGTTGCTGTTCAGACACTATAATTCAGTTACCATAATACGGGTATATAGTACACAACAGGGTTTCCTTCATATAGTAACCCTAACCCTATATCATATACCCTTATTATAGCAACGTAATTTAAGTTCCTTCACATCACGCCAGCCTTGTGGGAGTGTTGGAGGATGGCGGTAGCATACTCGGCGGCTAACAGCTCCTGCAGCTATGGGCATATGAGCTATAGTCTAAAGTCCTCAAAGGGGGGTTATATAGGGGAGTATATAGGGGCCTACTATAGGGGTTATTCAGGGGGATACTAGGAGTTTAGACAGTGGCTCATATGATAATTTTCTCAAAATTGGAGGTTTTGGGTTTTGGGTTCAAGGGTAATTTGCCAAAAATGGGGGGACCCTAATGTAAC